GGACCCTTCCGGTGGTCCCGGTACAATACCGATGACCCCGAAAGTTGTCCCGATGGCCGAAACAGGACTTCCTATATATAAATCTTTACCTCCGGACCATTCCGGAACTCCTCGTGACGTCCGGGATCTCATCCGGGACTCCGAACAACATTCGGTAACCACATACAAGCTTCCTTTATAACCCTAGCGTCATCGAACCTTAAGTGTGTAGACCCTACGGGTTCGGGAGACATGCAGACATGACCGAGACGTTCTCCGGTCAATAACCAACAGCGGGATCTGGATACCCATGTTGGCTCCCACATGTTCCACGATGATCTCATCGGATGAACCACGATGTCAAGGACTCAATCGATCCCGTATACAATTCCCTTTGTCTAGCGGTATTTTACTTGCCCGAGATTCGATTGTCGGTATACCGATACCTTGTTCAATCTCGTTACCGGCAAGTCACTTTACTCGTTCCGTAACACATCATCCCGTGATCAACTCCTTGGTCACATTGCGCATATGATGATGTCCTACCGAGTGGGCCCAGAGATACCTCTCCGTTTACACGGAGTGACAAATCCCAGTCTCGATCCGCATAAAACAATAGATACTTTCGGAGATACCTGTAGTGCATCTTTATAGTCACCCAGTTACGTTGTGACGTTTGATACACCCAAAGCACTCCTACGGTATCCAGGAGTTACACGATCTCATGGTCAAAGGAAGAGATACTTGACATTGGCAAAGCTCTAGCAAACGAACTACACGATCTTTGTGCTAGTCTTAGGATTGGGTCTTGTCCATCACATCATTCTCCTAATGATGTGATCCCGTTATCAACGACATCCAATGTCCATAGCCAGGAAACCATGACTATCTGTTGATCACAACGAGCTAGTCAACTAGAGGCTCACTAGGGACATATTGTGGTCTATATATTCACACGTGTATTACGATTTCCGGATAATACAGTTATAGCATGAATAAAAGACAATTATCATGAACAAGGAAATATAATAATAATACTTTTATTATTGCCTCTAGGGCATATTTCCAACAGCCATGACACGAGGGAAAAAGAATTTGCTGCAGTGCATGAAATAAATTGCCCAAAAAAGACCAAAAACAGACCAAAAGGAATTTCTCAACATTGCAAAAACAGAACAAGAATAATTTGCCATGATATATAAAATACAATTCACATGCTCCACTGAACCTCCCCTCTACAACGTTCGATCCAGGCAAAAACATATTGCAAAAAATACTATGAAATCCTTTTAAACAGAACACAAAAAATCCATGGAGAAAATACTATGGCAACCACGCAATAAATAACATGGTGTGATGCCTTAAAAAGTTTATGGTAATTATAAACTTATGTCAAACATATAGTTTTATTTTTCCATATTTCATATATCAAATTTCATGAAATTGCCATGTCAAATAATAAAAATAAATTTGACATGTCATAGAGAAAACAAAAATCCATACAATTTGCCATGTGGCTAGTCCATTCATTTTCACAAAAAATGCCATGGCAACCTTACTATTATATGCATGGCAAATTTTCATTACCAATGCCGATTTTACTTTTCATTTGACATGGCAAATTTACACTACGGGGTGACATGGAAAATTTGCAATGGAAAAATTAAAAGGTAAAGATTACCATTGTGGTAAATATAAATTTGCCATGTAAGTAAAAGTAAAATTGCCATGGAAATTAAGATAAATTTTCCATGGCAAATTTGAAAGGAAAAAATTTGCCATGGCAAAAATAAAAAGATAAAAAATGTCGATGTTGTAATTGAAAATTTTCCATGTATGGAAAAGTAAATTTGCCATGGAAATTAAGTTAAAAAATGTCCAAGGCAAATTTGAAAATGTAAAATTGCCATGGCAAAAAAAGGAAAGGTAAAAATGTCATTGTTGTAAATGTAAATTTGCCATGTGTGTAAAAGTAAATTTGCCATGGCAATTAAGTTAAATTTAGCACCGCCATGAAAAGTAAATTTACCATGATACAAGTCAAATATTGCCATGTTTTAAAAAGCGGTAAAGTGTTAGGAAGATCAAATTTGTCATGGAAAAAAATTAAGAAACCGTGGCAACATTCTTGGAAAATAGATATGGCGTAGACAATGCAAAAAGTTTTGTCATGGAAAAATTCTTGTATATAAAGATTGAGAGGGATATTGCAATGAAAAAATTGCATCTTAAGTTTCAAATGATATCGTATTAAAAACTGGACGTCGATAACGCGTTGACGCTTGCGCTGGGGAGGGGTCGCCCCGAACGAATCGTTCGCATTGGACAGGGGGAATGACCGAACGATTTCGTTCGGCCCAGGAGCTCTCTCAGCCCGAACACTTCCAGAAACTCATCACTTATCACGAATGCAACAAAAAGCCAGTGTAGGCCTGTTGGATGAGTCACATAAGAAAAACAGGCCCATTTAGATACTGAAACACGAAAAAAACCCCCAGAAAAACTCTCTAAGAAAAGTTACCATGTTTTGGCACATACTAAAGTTTGCCATGGCAAGTTGGCAAGTTCCCATGTTTTTGAAGATTTTAAAATGCCATGGTATATTATTCATATTTTTGAACATCTAGAAAAAGGTTGCCATGTTTTTTAACATCGTAAGTTGCCATGGCAAAGTTTGCCATGTTTTTGAACAACTATAACTTTGCCATGGCAAGTTACATGTTTTTCAACATGTTAATTAAATAAGTTTGCCATGGCATAAAATGGAGTTAAATTTGCCATGGCAAAAAGGGAGTAAAAATTTGCCGTGGCAAAAATAGTTTAATTTTTTGCCATGGCAAAAAAGTGGTACTTTTTGCCATGGAAATTAATTAAAAATTGACATGGCTACACAAGTATATTTAAGATGCTACATAGTAAAATTTGCCATATTGTATAAATTTAAATTTGCCATAATATTTCAATAAAATTGACATGCTCTCTAGAATAAATTTGCAATGGCAACTTAAACTAAAAATTGCCATGGTGACTTAACCAAAAAATTTCCATGTGAAAATAAACATATTTTTGACATTGACAAAAATGGAGCTAAACTTGGCATGCCAAAAATGGAGTAAAAATTTGCCATGGCGAAAAATGGGTTGATTTTTGCCATGGCAAAAGGGGAGTACTTTTGTCATGGAAATAAATTGAAAAATGCCATGGCTATACAAATATATGTATTGTGCTACATAGTTAAAATTGCCATGTTCTGAAAAATGTAAATTTGCCATCATATTTAAAACAAAAACTTGCGATGCTCTTTACAATAAATTTGTCACGGTATCTTAAACTAAAAATTGCCATGGCAACTTAAAATAAAATTTGTCGTGTGAATAAAAGTATTTTTGATAAACTTGTGAATTTCTGAAATTTGCCATATGAGTTTTCTAATAATTACCACAACATTTTAGTAAAAAAATGCCATGTTTTTGTAGCGTTTATCTCTTACTTATGTCGTGGAACAAACAAACTAACAAGTTCAGAAGTTTGCACGGAAAAAATGATGTATCTAACAAAAAGACGGAGACGCACATGCCACAAACACAACTAGTTTGGTCAGTTTTGTTTGCTGCTAAAAGAAGGAACATATTCTGATTGCAAATTATGACAACATGGCAACTAGTTTCAGCCAGAAAATGTAGTATCAAGGCGAGTAGGGAGTACTGATGCATCACGGAAAACATTAAGAGGGAAAAAATGTTAGAGGGTGAGAATTAGGGGGTAGTGATAAATTGTATCTGGCTGACGCCGATGACACTGCTAAAAATCGGTGTCCCTGCAGAGCGAGGTAGGCATAGTCGATGGCGAGCCCAGCCCTCTCCCTGGCGTGCACCACCCCGCATCCCTACCTTGCCAGCAAGCTCGCGGCCATTTCAAGCTCGATGCGCTGCGACTCGAGCAAGCGGGAGGGGGAGGGGGCATCCCGTCCCCGACGCGACCGACAACGCGCTCGCCGCCGCCTGTGTCGGCTCTCACCGGACAAGCAACAACCTCTCCTCCTGCGCGCGCTTCTCCTGAATCGAGGTGCGCCTCCGCACCCTGTCGTCGGCGCCGGCGCCTCCTCACTGCGGCCCTCTTTTCCCCGGCCATGATGCGGCCCTGGCCACCACGACCACTCCTGCTGCTCACAAATGGCTGCGCCCCCACCACCACCTCCCCGCGGTACCGACGCGCCACCACCTGCCAACCAGAGTTGACCAGGCGGAGTCCCGGCGACGTGGCCGCCGATGTTGCGGTGCGGCAGCAAACGCGCGCGGTGGCGAGGATAGGATAGGGCGGCGCCGGCGAGCTTGGGACGGCGGTGCTGTGGTGGGGAGCAGATGGGAGACGGCGGGATGGGGAATGGAGAGCAACGGGAGAGAGAAGGGGATGAGTGGTGCGAATATCTAGTTTGTTCGGGACGACTTCTGTTTTCTCCGAACGATATCGATTGCTGACGTGGCTCTGGTCCCCTGCTTTAAGATGCGTAATCAAATCGAGCGGTGAAAAGGACGTTCGGACCGAACAACAAAACGCAGCCCGTTCGGGAGTTATCGATTCCGAAAAAGAGAGGAGAAAATATCAACCTTCCGTCAGCGCAACTCGGCTGCCATTTCCAGTATCCACCCGCGCCGGCGCCGCGCTCCTCCCCGTCTTTGAAGAACACCTGCTCTCCCGCTCGAACTGCTCGTCTACTGGCGCCGCCGCCCTCTCGCTCCCGGACACGACGACCTCCGGCGGCACCGGAAGAATACGGAAGACTCCGAGGGGAGTGGACGCCAGGGGCAGGGCCTGGCTGCGGGAGCCGGGAGACTACGGCCGGCCGCCGGTGCTGACTTGCGCCGGAGATCAGTGCGCGCCTGCTCCTGGATTCCAGGTTCGAGCTCAGGTGAGGCTGCCTATTGGATTCCCCGATTTGGGATGCCACATTCCCCTCTTTTATTTTTCTGCTAATTCCTTCTTTCTTCCGCTCCCGCAGGGCACGTCACCTGTTCGACGGAATGCTCAACAAGACCGCGGCGAGCGGCAAGGGTCAATTCGGTGACCTCACCGACGACCTCCTCCGGCACGTGCTGTCCTTTCTGCCTGCGGCTGATGCTCTGCAGACTTGCGTGCTCGACACCCGGTGGCGCGACCTCTGGAGGCGCACCACCGACCTCCTCCTAGTCTTTGATGAGACCAGTTTCCCGAGCTCCGGGCGTTTCAAACAGCTGGTGAAACTCTTCATCCACCTCCGGGGAAACTCACCTCTCGACAAGTGCAAGATCGTTGCCTGTGTTGATGATGAGGAGGGGTGCACATACACAAACACCATGCTGTTGATCAAGTACGCTCTAAAGTGCCAAGTTAAGGAGCTCCTACTCAGTGTTGCTGTTGAAGATGATGACACTGTGTACGACCCAATAATACTTGATGCGCCTCTCATCTCCCAGCACTTGAAGCTCTTACACCTCGAACAGGTTAACCTGAAATTCTCCGCTCTGAATTTCTCGCGCTGCCCGGTATTAGAGGATCTAAAGATGCAACGTTGCGGCATTGATGGACGCAGGATATCTTCCAAATCACTAAAGCGTTTGTGCATTTCCGACTTCTGTTACTTCCCTGAGGATTTCCACGTTCGGATATTTGCCCCGGGTCTTATCTCTTTGCAACTTGATGGTTTTAATGGCTTGACCCCTTCCCTTGAATACATGCCATTTCTAGAAATAGCTTATGTTGGGCTTCGCGATGAATGCTATGATTTCTGTCGTAGTAACCGGCAGGATTGTGAGTTTGATGACTGTGGCTGTCATGCTTATCCCGTTGGCGAAGGTGTGCTTCTCCATGGTTTGTCCAATGCTGTGAATTTGGAGTTGATTGCTGATCATGGATCTGAAAGGGTACGCTTGCACTTGCTGCCTTTTCACTCTTATTGCTATTGGCACCCATAGTTCTTTTGTAGTATCACATCCATTGCTAGACCTGCAAATACTTATTCTCATTACCACAGTTTGCTATTTTTTATCTTCACAAATTTCAGATCAACAATTTAATAACACAGAAGCATAATTGGGTAAATGTAATATTTTCAAAGCTTGAGGTGCAGTTTTGCCTTTACTTACTTACGTCTGAAACTAAAGTATCTATCCAAACTTTCAACTTAAATTAGTATTTCATTTCTTGAGTATCATGGTTCCTTTTTGTTCTTTTGCTATGACAGTTTGAAATTAAGATTCTACTACCCTAAATGATTTTGTCTTGTGGAGTCTCAGAGTTCCATTTTGTTCGCTTGCTATTTGTCCAGTTTATCTACACATGGGATTTAAAATGCTGCCCCATATTCGACAAACTGAAGACTCTATTACTCAGTGAGTGGTTTACAACTGTTGACTTGGTGTGCATTCTCCAACACTCTCCAATTCTTGAGATGCTCACTCTTCAGCTGGATAACACTAAGGTATCTCCTATATATATAAAGACATTGTTGCATTATTAAAGGAATTATGACATATATTCTGTCAATCTTACTAAATGTTTTGTATCATAGAAACTCGTTAGAGCAACAGGAGCCCAAGAAATGATCGACCAATCATTTGTGTGCTTGCACCTTAAGGTTGTCAACATTGAATGTAGAAAGGTTGACGAGGGAGTTCGCAAAATTTTGACGATCTTGAGTACATGTGGCATACCTCGTGAGCAAATTGGCATCAAGGAGCAATTACGTTACTCAGACCGTAATTAACCTTTGTCACTCTTCATGCTTTGTTTGTGCGATCTTCCTACTTGTCCTATCATGTCTGTTGTGACACCCTTCTGAATTCTATTTATATCAGTATCCTTTATTGTATTGTTTGCTGGTGTAGTTCAGAATGGCCGTTAAGTTTCACCAAAATTAATTGCTCTGTTATTAGTTATTACTGGTTACAACAGAATAGTTACCACACATTGCTGTTGTGCCTATAAATCTGTGTGCCTGTAAATCTGTTCCATCCATGATAAATCATTTGGTTTTGATACTGTGATTTTTTACCATTTAACTACTGATGGAAATAGCAGTTCTTCTGGTCTTGAAATTTATCTTTATCTTTGCTGTCCAGTTGGTATAGTCAATTTTACTAAGAATCTTCAACTGATGGGGGGTAGTATAGTTCCTCATTGTTTTCACTTTTGTTCCTAGATAGTTGTTAGTTTGATGAGTAGAAATTGATGCCAAATTGCATGCATACCACAGTACCACACTACCTCTGAAGTTTCACAGTACCACAGTACCACACTACCTCTGAGTCTTGAGGCGCCTGAATGGTCATATTTATATATTTGCTCTCACAAAGCTAGACTGCCAAGCAAACAAACAAATTTGGTCAGTCCACTTTGAGGGGACAAAAATCTGTTCAATGTCACCTGATAGTTGAGATCTTGGAAGTAGGAACTAAACTTATTTCATTGTCATGTTGTGTGTAGGTTTCAGTTTCCAGAAGCCTCTGTAGCCGCTGCTTCCATCTACTGTGGCACTAGCTAGCTGCAGTTTCCACCAGTGACCGCAACTGAGAGCCGATATGCAATGCGTGCTCGCGTGTGATGTTGGTCTAAAGCCTTCTGTGGTTCTCTGAATAAGAATGTGATGGTGGTCCTGTTGGCTGTTATCGCCACATTTAGTTTCTAGATTTCTATCTTTTGGTGATGTGCTAGAAAATGTTTTCTGACTGTGTGGTGCAACTCAGCAAAATGGTTTGCAGTTCGATGAAGTCGTAATGGTTGGTCAAAATAATGGAAATCGGGTCCGTGCGCCCCCCTTTGACTGCATGAGTTTATTTTCCCCAGAGTATTGCTTTATTTCTTTATAGATCATCTCTCGCTCTATTTAGTTTTGCTAGAAATGTTTTAGACACGGGACTATCTTTTGGATGAGATGTTGAAATTAGCTGCACACAGTGAACGCCGGAGCCAACGGCGTCATGTCAGGATAGACCACACGGTCGTGGTTCTTAGATGATAACACCTCGCTCGTCGGACTTGTCTTGCTGAAGGTTGCTCTGGCCGATAAGTGCCTTACCGTTGAAGATCTTGCGGAAATAGCACCGATGATCGTTTGGATTTTGTTTCTTGAACCACGATCTTGTGGATTTGGGGAGAAAGAGAAAAGTGGAACATAGTCTTTGTAGAAAAAGGCTGCTTTGAAATCAGTGGGGACACACGTCATGTGCTTAGTGGGTCTAGAGGACAAAGCCCTTATCTGATACGATTTTTTTTCCGATCACGACAATTATTAGCGGATTATAGTACGATTGCGAGAGATGATCTCGGCAATAATGGCACATGGGGAATTGAGGGATGGCGCCGACTCGTATGCTCTTCCCTTGTGGTTTAAATACGGGAGGAATGGTAGGAGGCGTCTTCCTCTCCTTATTTATTCATGCTGCCATTGGCGGACGGAGCTTGCTGCTCAGGTTCCTTTTTCTCTAGACCTTGATCGACTTTGCGGTTCCCTCCTTTCTCATGTGTCTACTGATTATTTAGCCCGCTCCCTCAACACCCATCACCTGTTCGATGGAAAGTTTGTGATGGCTGCAAAGGGTAGCAAGGACCGCCTCGGTGACCTCACCGACGACCTCCTCCGTCATGTGTTGTCCCTTCTTCCGCCAGAAGATGCCCTCAAGACTTGTGTGCTAGACACCAGGTGGCGCGAACTATGGAGGCGCACCACCAGCATGCACTTTGATGCTACCCATTGTGAGCGATGCGAACAGTTGGTGAAGTTGTTCATCCAACTCCGTGGAAACTCACCTCTCCCCAAGTGCGAGATCAGTACCTCCTCTGATGATCATCCGCATCATGCCGACTTTATATACACCAACACAGAGCTGTTGATCGATTACGCTCTAGAGTGCCAAGTTAAGGAGCTCCTGCTCAAAGCTGATCACATTGATGATGGCGCAATAATACTAGATATGCCTCTCATCTCCCGTCACTTGAAGATCTTACACCTTGAAGATGTTACATGCTCTGCTCTGAATTTCTCTGGTTGCCAAGTATTAGAGGAACTTAAGATGGAACATTGCGAGATTTATGCACATAAGATATCATCCAAATCACTAAAGCGTCTCTGCATCACAGAACAATGTAGTGTCCCTCAGGAATTCCACATTCAGATTTTTGCCCCTGATCTTATCTCATTGCAAATTAGCAATTTTCATGGTGCGACCCCTTTCCTTGGGGATATGCCATTTCTAGTAACAGCCTATATTGGTCTTTGTGATGGATGTCATGATTCCTGTGAGAAGAACCTGAGGGGTTGTGATTTTGATGAGTGTGGTTGTCATGCTTATCCTGCTGAGGGGGGTGTGCTTCTCAATGGGTTGTCCAATGCTGTCCATTTGGAGTTGATAGCTTATCCTATGATGGTACGCTTGCACTTACTACCTTTTTTACCCTTAGTGTTATTTGCCACCAACCGTTTCTCTTGTAATATCCACTGTTGCCCCGGCGTAGTCACGTAAAAGCAACTTGCTTTTCTTCATTACCACTGTTTGGTAATTTTATCTGTACAAATGGTTCTCATATTAACGATCTAATAACATATAATCTTAATCAATAATGTGTGGTATTTCTTGTGCTTGAGGTGTAATTTTCTCTTTTCTTCATTACACTTTCGAAATTAATAATATCAACCTGAAGTTCCTACTAACTTAAGTTATTTTATCTTTGAGTTTTGACTTCTCTTTTTGCTCACTTGTAATTTTTTCAGTTTATCTACCAATGGGATTTAGAATGTTGCCCCCTATTTGGCACATTAAAGACCCTGCTCCTCAATGAGTGGTTCACGACTATTGATCTAGTCTGCATTCTTCGATGCTCTCCACTTCTTGAGAGGCTCACTCTTCAGCTTTGTGACACTAAGGTATATCATGTACATATAACAATGTTGTTGTGTTATTAAAGGAAATATCATGTGTGTTCAACTGATCTTACTAAATATTCTCTATATCTCACAGAACCTCGTAGGAGCAACAACATCCCCAGAAACAATTGACCAATCATTTGTCTGCTCCCACCTGGAGGTTGTGAAGATTGAATGTAGAAAGGTTGATGTGGGAATTCGCAAAATTTTGAATATCTTGAGTACATTTGGCGTAGATGATAAGAAAATCAACATCAAGGAAAAATGTTCTCACTCATATCGTAAGTTACCTTTGTCATGCCTCATCCTTCGTATAATTTTGCAATTTTCCTTCTTGCACGAAAATGTTTGCTGCACTTACACATTAACAAGAGTACATTTAGTACCCATTTATATTCAGCATCCATTATGAAACCCTTTACAACCTGTTTATGTTGTACTTACTGCATGCTGGTGGAGTTGAGAATTGCTGCTAAGTTCTAGTGGTGGCAAATACAATGGTAACCACATGCTGCCATTCGTTCCTATAAATGATCGGTGTCATCCATGCAGAATTATTTGGGCTTGGTTCTCTTCTTATTTTTTTACTGTTCATTACTAATGAAGACAGGAAAAGCTCCCTTTTTGGAATTAACTTTATTTGTGCTCCCATTTGGTAGTTTACGCTTGGCATCTATTCAGAATTGAGAACTGCCTTTGCCTCCCTGTTTTCAGTTTTACTATTACTCCCTGCCTGTTGTCAGTCTGAAGTCCCTCTTTAGTCACATGAGGCATCTGAATGGTCGGTCATATGTGTCTTGCTCTCACAAGAGTAACTCTATGTCAACAAAAAAAAGGTCAAGCCCACTTTTTGTTTGAAATAAAAGAAATTTGGTCAAGCTGCATGATATTCTCCTATCTATCTATAAAACTTGAGGCCATCTTCATGCCAAACTTGTTGTTTATTGTCATGTTTTTTTTGCAGGTTTCAGTTTCGAGAAGTATGGGGTGCTTCTATCACTGGTGGCCCCTGAGATGTGTGCTCCGCCATGATGTTTGTCTACAGCCTTATGTGTTTCTCTAAATAAGGTTGTAACCGTGGTTCTGTCTTGGCCGTTACTGCTATGTTTAGTTTCTTGCCTTGCATATTTCGGTCCTATATGCTGGAACTTTGCTTTGCTGGTTGTTTGGTGTGATTTAGCAATACGGTTTTCGGCTTGTTGACCTCGTAATGTCATGGTTGGTCAGAACATTGCTATGTTTCCATTATCAGTAATCTAAATAGGGCTGTTGTGCCCTGTTTGAATCCATGGGGTCTTTCTGGAGGAGTTGTACTTCAATTATCTTAGCAGAAACTGCCTAAGTGTTTGGCTTTTTTAGAACCATTTGGCTTCTTTTCTGGATGAGATGTTGGACCTGGACATGGTTTATGGAGCCAAGCCGTCAACGGCTCAACGCCTAGCTTTTGTGCAGTGCTAGTAAGATACCCGGCCTGGATAATGGCAGTACCGATAACAACTGACTTATTTTTGCTGCTTCTTCCAAAAGGAAGGTTAAACCTCCCGGCCACATCATACTTTGATAACAAGAAATTTTTATGTGGCAGTTTCAATCTAGAGGAGAAAGAATTACATCTGAAATCATGCCTGCCTAGTTCCTTGGTTGAACTTAAGGGCGTGCACAACTAGCACTAGTAGAAAAGGGGGCATTTGTCCCGGTTCGTAAGGGCCTTTAGTCCCGGTTCATGAACCGGGACTAATGGGTCGTTACTAATACCTCCCCCCTTTAGTCCCGGTTCTCTAACATGAACCGAGACAGATGGTCCTCCACGTGGCCGGTGCGCCGAGCCCAGGCAGGGGGGCCTTTGGTCCCGGTTGGTGGCATCAACCGGGACCAAAAGGCGATGTTTTTCTTTTTTTAAAGAAAAAGTGGCTGATTTAGGGGTTTTGGGGGTTATTTTTAGGTTGTTATTAGCTAGCTAATAGAGAGAAGTGTCCTCTCTTATATCTTCGTCCTTGGTTTACCAACGCTGCTGCTATGTTCATTTCACCCGCTGATATAATAACTCATGCATGCTCGCATCATACATCATCATATATAATAACAAGTCCTACTAATCATGCATCATCATACAACTTCTACTCGTTATTAATAATAAGTCATACGATCATCATCCTCATAATCATCGAACCCACCCCTACATAATTGTTCTTAGCACATGATCATCAGTATCAGGTAGGACCTAAACACCCTTAAGGTAAAATAGCATAAAATAATATAGACCCTGACTCTTCATTATGAAGAATGGAGATCATCCTGTCTCCAATTCTTGCGCTTCGCTGCCTTTTGCTTCCAAGAAGCTTCTTACGACTGTCCATACATTTTTTTCTTTTTTTTTGATTGTCATGTCTCCATTTCTTTTAGAAACCCGGTATGGACAGTTCAGATTCGTAGGAAGACCTGGTTGTATGTTCAAAACATGAAGGCTACCGTGCGTATACATCAGATGAGGCACACAATCATTCAGGATTATCTGTTGAAAAACATAGTAATAACTTCGTAGTTAGCAATGATGTACTAGTTTTAGAAGTGTGCAAAAAGATGTACGGA